TTCTACACTTGGTCTGACTGTTCATTAACAGTTTGAATGTAGTGCAGTTGCTTCTCAAATCAAAAACTATGAGAGTGACCTATATATGTGCTCTCTCATTTGTTCTAAAATGCATTATGCTAATATATTTTTGCAGAATGTTTTGCTAAATTTGTTTTGGCAAGGGTAATTCTGATTGAATCTTTGTAAATAATTCTAGTGCTTTTAATATTCATTTGACATTCCAATCACATATTTTTCAATTTACACTTTTTGAAATGAAAGCAGGTTCTTCCTCCAACCCCCTTTAAAAAAGCTTCTTTCCTACCCTCCTTTTCTATATAGTCCAGACCAATTTCCCAAGGTAAAATGAGGTGGGGGAGAGCGAGGTGGTGTTTACAACTTCAAAACAAAAGAGCTGATTCATAGACTGATAGATTTCAAAAACAGATGAGCAAAAACAGGTTCCATTTGTCTTGCCACACTTTAATCTGATAAAGCACAAAAGGGCCTACCATCTCATTTTCCATATCTCTTCAAAGGGTTGCATTTGAAACGTTGATTAAAGGTATAAATTTCATTGCTGTTTTCTCCACTTTCCTCAGTTGTGTAAGAAAGGGCTTCAAACTCATGTAGGCTCTTTTTCCTTTCTTGAATGTTGAGCTGGACATAGCATTATGGGAATTGCATTATTCTTATTGCTCACAGAGAGATATGATGTTGATTCTAGAACAGCCATCCCTGCTCTTTCCTTTGACCATACATTCCTGCCACATTTTAAGACAGAAGAATCAACAAAACTAGTGTTGGGCCAGGCAATTCCATTTGGGAGCTACAATTACACTGTGATCTGTAAATCAGATTGTATTTACAATTCATAAATGTATTAATCTCATATTCTAATTTTTTCTCTAGCTCTGATTTTTTATTTATCAAAATAGTAGGCCTGAGAACACAATACCAGAAGTAGATTTTTTTTCTTGTGATGAGAACTTTTAAAATTTACTCTCTTGGCAACTTTCAAATACACAATACAGTATTGTTAACTATGCCATGTTGTATATTACATTCTCAAGACTTATTTATTTTGTAACTGCAAGTTTGTACCTTTTGATCACCTTCATCAATTCTGCCACCTAACCACCAACTCCTGTTTCTGGCAAAAACCAATCTGTTCTCTGTATCTATGAGTTAGTTTTTTGTTGTTATTGTTGTTTTAGATCCCACATATAAATGAAATCAGACAATATTTGTCTCAGTGTATATGACTTACTGCACTTAGTGTACTGCCTCAGCATCCATCTGTGTTGTTGAAATGGTAGATTTCCTTCTTTTATATGGCTGAATACTATTCCACTATATGTATATACCATGTTTGCTTTGTGCATTCATCCATGACTGATACTCATTCATCTGGATAAAATAAATTAGACTCTTTAGAATGTACAGATAAATTGTCAATAGGCATGCAGAAGACAAATTGCACTTAAAAGCAACAAAGAATCTCAGAGGCCCTCTTATTCAATTCTTCCTTTTAGCTTTGAAGATGGAGGTACAAAGAAGAGAGTGACTTGCCCAAGGTCACATAGCTGGTTAGTGACAGATTTGGAAATTCTGACTTATAATCAGTTATTAGGTCTTAAAGTCTAGCGTTCTTTCCACACCAGAGCAAAGATGATAAAAACAAAACAATGTTTTCAATAAACATTGAAAAGTCTCCTCTGTCATTCCTGCCTGTGTCTTTAAGGTGCCTTGGATGCTACTGATGTTTCTGGTGGTGATAATTACTATTTCTTGAGCCTCTGCATGCATCAGACATCAAATTAAACACTTACATTTACATTATTTATGCCATAAGATCCACAAATTTATATGAAAATGCTATTGTATTTAATAATAAAGTATAAATTATCACAAAGCGCCAATGAAGTTATAATATTTATCCCTAACTCATTCTCAATCAATGGGTTTGAAACTATTGCTGTGAAAGAGTAGTCTATAACATTTTTGTTATTAAAATGAATCTTTATAATCACAAGGCTCATGTGCCACTTAACCATGTTTAAGCTTCCTTCAAATGCCCAGACATCATTCTGTACTACATTTGTCTCCATCATAAGGTTAAATATTAAGGATGCCACACCGCACAGAAGAGACCCCAGAGATCACCTAAGCAACTGATTTGTTTTACAAATTGGAAGACCAAGACAGGGACCAATAAAATAATGGCTTCATTTGAGGAAATTGATGAGTCAGAACTAGAGCTGGAATTAGAAGGCAGGACTCCTGACTGAATTTGATAACAGAAAAAAAAAAGAAAAAAAAGAAGGAAACTCTTGGTGTGGAAGTTACTCATAAATATTATAAAAAATTAAAATAATAAAAAAAATTTCCTTCCAAGCCTCACATTGACTCAACTCCAGCTTTGTAGAGGTCATCATATTGGCCAATAATAACACTTGATCCTAGATATTGTAAATTTAATATACAGCATAATATCCTAGATATTGTAAATATAATATACAGCATAAAATATAGAGAGAGTATTTTGTGGTTGGGGAGGCTCATTTATTGATTATTTCTTCTCAGACTTTTAAATTAAGTGGAGAACTAAAGAAATTCAAGAACTGATTTTTCATAAATTTTATTTACTTTATGTGGACAATAATGGCTAAAGAAAAAAGCAAGGAAAAAGTTTATGATGTCACTGTTTCCTGATCTTATGAACTCTTCTCTCTCTTTTCTCCCCATTCATGCCAATAAGCCCTGCTATTACTTGGCTCTAGATACATCTTTGTGATCCCAGATAAGAGACACTTATTCTTGACCTTCTCCATCCATAAAATAAAGAAACCAAGGTCATAATCCCTTGTTCTTTATACACTAAGTGTTTGAAAAGGCAATGGGGAAGAGCTGAAAAAAAAGCATGTACTCCACCTTCAATGCAATAAGGATGCCAAAACTTCCCTAGAATGGTTTCTAAAGGTTAATTTGTGCAAACTTAATCCCATGAGGCACTCTGCAAAACATAGGTTTCAGTAGTCAAGTGTATTTCAGAAACAGAGAATTGTGTGTCCCATTGTAGAGACTCACAATGTGCCGTAGCATGCTAAATGTCCAGAGGCCCTGCCCTTAGGTAACTGCTTGACTTAATTTCACACAGTGATTTCCAAATTTAATTGACCTTAATGACCATATCTTATTGAACCCACTTTGGGAAATACTGCCCTGTAAAATTATAATAGCTAGGCACAAACATCAAGTAGTCATAAAAGGGAAAATAAGGTAAAGCTGAGTATAATCTATCTTACTAATGTAGTATAGCATTCATTTAAAAACAGAAACTAATGTAAAATGTTCATATAAACGTCACTACATAGGATACAGGATTTGCATTCTTTTACTATATTCAAATATTTTTTACTCTTATTACAAAAATATCACTGTGTGCTTTATTTTTTATTTTTTGATAAATACAACCTAATTTTCCTTTATCGTTTCCTTTTATTGTAGCAGTTCTCACTTTAAAGCCAGGTTTGCTTGTGAAATAACATTTTCATGAACTCACTATTGACATTTCTGCCTATTTTAATCACAAGATATAATCTTTAATATTATCTAACTAGGGTTTAAATACCATTTCAGAGTTAAAAATTGAAATCAACATTTTGTGATTTTCTCAAATATCAAATGATACTCTTGACATTTTGCAGGCAATCAACAAAGATTTTTTTCTTAGTGATTTATTTTCTGCTATTTAAATTTCACATGAAATTTAAAACTATTCCATAGACTCATCTTTGTAATATGTTCTTATTCCTTCATCATTGTTTTTGAAAGTAAATGATACTGATTAGCCAAAGAAAATAATTTCATTATAATTATCCAAAACTACAAGACTGAATTTTTCTTTTTGATAAAAATTGATCATTGTTATATCAATGAAATGGACTAATAATCTAGATTAACACATAAAACTGGAAAGCAAGAGTTTTAAGTCATTTTCAAATAATTTGAATTACATTTTTAAAATAATCTTTATGGACTTAAAGTTAGGGGAATCCTTTTTACAATGATCCTAACTTAAAAAGTTTATGTATGTGTAGGTGTTAAAACAATGGCTGGTTTTATGTAGGGGAAAAAAAAGAAAAATCTAAATTTCTGTTTTAAATATAAAGAGGTTGAAAAGTATACATTGCTTTTTGAAAGTTTTTATACAGCATGGAGCAAAAGCAGGTTTACAGTTGTCAGTATGAAAAAATTTATCCTTGTATTATTATTTATTAGTCATTGTATTATTTTACATATGAACAAATATAAACTTATTTTTGCTCCACCCTGCATAGTAAAAAATAGAAGCTAGGTAATTATTTGGGACTGTTTTCCCTAAGATAGCTTGTATATGTGAGGATTGGTAGTTGCACTTTAAAATTGGTAGGGGCAGGACCAACATTTAGCTCAAGAGATCACTTCATCATAGCAGACACTAAAATTGGTAGGAGTATTTTAAAAGTACTCCTTCTAGGGTTATTACTTATAAATTATCAAGCTATTTTCAGAAACTTGCCCTTCATTGTGCCCTTCAATGCCTGAATCTGTCATCTTATTTACAAGTAAGGTAATGTGTAGCGTTGACCCTTCCTGTGTCAATTCAGAATGCTCATTTTTCAGGCAATTGTTTCTTAGTTTATTTCCCATCAAGGTTTTATCTTTTGCCAGGGTGCCAACTATTCACATCTTGGATTATAATTTGTCTCACCTGGATCTGACTGATAATGATGAAACAATGTGTTTGTAGGGGATTCCTTTTCACAATTACCACCTCCCTGTGAAACTGCCTGCTTTAGGAGGTTGTGCTATCTAAATAAAGTCTTTTACCAGAGAAACATTTGCATCACTAGTATTTCTTAGCCTGCTTGTCTCCAGGCTCCAACACAAAGACCTAAAATAAATAAAACATCAATTATGTGAAAAGTGAAAAAATCTTTCTTATCCTATTTTTCTTCCTTTTCCATTTACAGATGTCATCCATACAGTAGGGCCGATAGCAAGAGGACATATTAACAGTTCCCACAAGGAAGACCTTGCAAATTGCTATAAATCATCTCTGAAGCTGGTGAAAGAAAATAACATCCGATCAGTTGTAAGTACTTTTATGTTCTTTATTTCTTATTCTTTTTCAGCCTTCATATTTTGGAAATCAGTTTTGTCCAAAATGAGGGTGGAAAACCATTTCCAAAATTTTGATGTGGTGATTACTGGCAGGGGGAGAGTATAAGGGGACTCAAAGGTAATATAAAAAAATACAATAAAGATTAAAAATAATCAAAAAAATTCTGAAAACTCAGTTTGAGAATCTTAGTGATGCCGTCTGTTAGTTATCATGGCCCCACTCTTTTGTATGCCCTAAATATTTGCTAAATTGTTCATGATGTTTTGAAATTTAAAACATCATGAACAATTTAGAACCCCAGAACTGGAACCATCTCATTTACTTTCCTCTCTCACTTTGCTATAATCTTTTGAAGAAAGTGTGTATGTTTTTACTTGACAGTTGTTATTCCTTTAGATTTATTTTCCTTTTCCTGAGCTAATATTCTGTGATTGGGTATGCCATATTCCTTCTAAGTTTTATCAGTTTAGACAGAGAGAGTTCAGAAAATGTGGATCTGATCTATTTCTTTACCAGTAGCTTTAGATGAAAGACAGCCTTTCTTCTTGGATTTGCAGGTATTTATTCACCTGCTTTTCTTTTACAATAGTACTACATTTATTACATATCGATTACACAAGGAAAATAAAACTATGAGGAAAAAATGAGAGTATAAATACCCAAGAGTGAGTTAATTTGGGTGGAATTCCTTGGGTCTTTTCAGATAAAATATAGCCTTTCTGAAATTGTAAGGCAGTTAAAACTTGACTCCTTATAAGTTTGAATGGATCAACATTGCTTGGGAGTTCATAAAAGTGGTGGTTTTAGCCCTGGCTTGTATGTCTCAGTGGATTGAGTGCCAGCCTGTGAACCAAAGGGCTGTGAGTTTGATTCCTAGTCAGGGCACATGCCGGGGTTGCAGGCCAGGTCCCCAGTAGGGTACACTTGAGAGGCAACCACAGACTGATGTTTCTCTCCCTCTCTTTCTCCCTCCTTTCTCCTCTCTAAAAATAAGTAAATAAAATCTTGAAAAAAGTGAAAGTGGTTGTTTTATTATTTACATGAAGAAGCATTGAGAGTCAGACACATTTAGATAAATTTAATCATCACTGTATTTTTCATGACTGAGTATAAAGTGACTTTTTCAATATACATTAGTGAGTTTGCTTAAAATAAAAAAAAACTTTTTATAAGTCAATTATATAGCCTTTTAAATCTTTGTATAATTATCAACAGAGCTGAATATTTTATTTCACCTTTTGATATTTTTTTAAAAATTATCTTTGCAAATGAATCAATAAGTAAGACTTCTGTCTTAGAGGAGAAAGTTCAAGTTCAAAGAGAAAGGAGCAAATCAAACTACTAAAACAGTTGGCTAATTTGGTTCTCTACTGGAAAAAAAAATAGGAAAATCAAAACAGGTGTACACATTCAGAGGATAATTAAAATGTTGTCAATGTGGCTTATTGATTTCAAAGGGCAAGGGGCTGAAGTACTTGGGAAAATGATTATGTATAGAAGTTTCAACTTAGAGAACATGGACCTTGAGACCTAAAGAGAATTTACCAATAAATTCACTGGCATCTCTATTAATTTTTTAGCAAATAAATGAGAGGCTAGACCGTTAGAAACAGTATTAAAAATAGCACCCATTCTTTCAATAGGAAAAAGAAACATTCCTAACTAAGATGTTCTTAAAACAAGAGTATCTGCTGTTGCACTACTACCACTGGGAAAGGTGATGAATTATGGACTAAGTTAAAATAACTTTTATCAGATGGCCTACAGATGGACTTAAGCAATACTCTAGTCATTTTGGCGTTGGAATCAGGTCTACCTTAACATCCTTGATGATATTTTGAAGGCATATATGTTACCTGGATAAAATTAGCAGGTAGTGCTAAACTGAAGTTATTCCAATATTAATTACAAATGGAGATGGAAAATATCTGCAGAATGTGAAATAAAATTTCAGATAAATTAATCTGTATGTTATGGCAAGATTGACTGGAGTTGTCATTGAATGTCATATCTTATTCATAAAAAGAAAAAGTCCATTTTTCTTCCTTCTTTCTCTTTCCTTCCTTCCCCTCCTTCTCTCCCTTCTTTTTTTTGTCTGTCTTGAAAGAGGAAATAGGGCTTTATACTTTTCATGTAATATAGTATTCTTGAGCAACATTAAAAGCATAATATTGCTAATGTCATCAGATCCACATTATTTGGAGGTTAATTGAAAATTCTTAGAAATGTGATTAAGATGGGATAGAGGTGTTTTATCTTATAGGCTTGTACTTTGTAGGTTCATCATAATAGATGTGGAGAGACGGTTATATAAAAAGCCTGCTTATTAAAGTGGAAAAAAAACTTAACTTGAGCTCATTTATATACATCAAAGAAAATTTCTCATAAACCATTTTTTTTTAACCAAGGTAGCTTAGTGTTTGCTTTACCAATGATCACTGTGTGACCATGGACAAGTCATTTCAATATATTGCAGCCTCGGTTTCCACATACAAATAATCAGTAAATTATTATTGCTACCTTTGACCTAACTCATGAGATATTATGGAGGCATTGGAGATAATAGATATAAGATAATTAAAAAATTTAATTTTCTTTAGAAGCATTTGGCAATATTGCCTCAAGTATAAGGCATTTCACATTTTATGATTTGGAGAATTTAGGAAATTGAGATCATTACTCCTTTGATATCTGTTTTGAAAATCAGATTTCTAAACATTTATCATATCTTTTATTTATGCTTTTAAACCAGAAATGTATTATCTTAAAGTATTCAGTTAGTATATTTCCAAAGAAAAATTCACTATTTTCCTCCTCCAGTGTAGGGAAAAACCTTGTTCTCCCCTACTTTGTGTTTCTTCCCTGTGAATATAATTTACTACTCACACAAAACACTTCTAGTCACCAAATGTGTGGAGGTTTTCACCCACACCAAGCAATTCTGTGCAACACCAGCTGGGTGTCCTACAATTTAACTCAGTTCTGATACTATCTATTTGAAGATAGTAGCAGATCTTAAAGTTTAGGGGCTCAGTCTCATAAGATTCCTCCTCTCCCCTCCCACTCCTCCACACACACTTTAGATGCCAGTCACAGGTCCAGGTTATCACCTGTGCCACTGATCAATAGATGGGAGTTTCCAATGACCCCCTCTTAGGTTCAATTAATTTGCTACATGGGCTCATAAAATTCAGGGAAAGACTTCTTACATTTTCCAGTTTATTAAAGGATATGATAATGGAGACAGATGAAGAGATACACAGGGTGAGATCTGGGATGCTACTGGGCACAGAGGCTCCTGTTCCCGTAGAGTTTGGGTGTATCACTTTCTCAATGTGGATGTTTGCCAATCTGGAAGCTCTCCAAATCCTGTGCTGTTGGGATTTTACGGAGACTTCCTCATGTAAACATGGTCAAACATTAATCCCAATTTTATCCCCTCATCCCTATCTGAAGGATGAGTAATAAGGCTAAAGATTCAAAGCTTGGTCTTTCTGGTGACCAGTGCCCATCCACGGCTCATCGAGGGACCTACCCAGTGTGACCTCATTAGAACAAAATATGCTCCTAGTCATCTTACCAGTTAAGAATTTACAAGGGTTTTAGGAGCTCTGTGTCAGGAACCAGGGAGAGAGACTGATACATATTTTCTATTATCTCATAATATATTTACCAAAATAATTAAAATGATTAATACAAGGGGAAGGGTCATCGAGGAACCCCAGGACCCATGGACAAAGCCAAAGGGCAGTAGGATTGAGAGTGGGAGGTGGAGGTGGTGCGGTGGGAGAAAGTGGTGGGGGGAAAATAGAGACAAATGTACTTGAACAACAATAAAAAAAAAGAAAAAAGAAAAGTATTAACAGAATCTTATTTATATTCATTAATAATATTACCAACCGATATCTGCATTGACAGCACATAGCATAGCATACGATAGGACTTATTGCTCAGGAGATGCAATGAATTGGATTATACTAATATTGCTATCCTATGCAACTGTCTTAAATTTGTAATCTAATTTTTAACTTTTAAAAAAATACTGTCATATCACTATGGTTTTTCTATGTTTTGTTTTAGAACAAAGCTACAAAAGTAAATAAAGAGTAACCAGATAAAATGGGGTAACAAATATGTCACAAATTAGCTATGAGCCAATATGGTAAAAACCATATGAGAATATATTATTTTATTGGTCTGGATCACAGCACAGCCCACAGTTACAAATGACCTCAAAATCTTAGTGACTTATATGCAGAGACCCTGCCTTATGGACATCCCATCATCTCATAGTTGTACTGTCTGGAACTGACAACCTCTTCATCCATAGAACAGAGGTTTGGTCAAATCATGCATGAAATTTTTACTGTGTCAGCTTAGAAGTGATATCCATCATTTCCATTCTCATTTCAGTGTCCAGAACTGTTCATATAGTCCTGTGTACTTCCATGGGGGTGGGTAGTGTCCATGAACAAATGAAATATTTGATGGGCACCACTATTCTGCCAAATTAAACCAAAGGCTTTGGGATCACAGCAGGGGGTCAGAGATAACTGCTTTACATTAATTTCTCCAAAGGAATATATTGTTCAGATTCTTACTGGAGGTAAAACAAATTGTATGATCATGTACTTATTTGATAAATAATAACACCCACTGTGTACCAAGCTATTTTAAAGGTATCTTCCAGAGAATATTTGTTATCTTCAAATATATAGTTTGTCTCCATCTCCTGACCATCCTGAAAAATAAATAGACAAGATCATCTTGTTCCTTCTATGATTTGAGAATACTTTCTAGTTCTCTCATCACTTTTAAATATCTTCCCACAGATGTCTGAAATTCCATAATTTATGAACAATTTATATGGTCAGGCATTGTTCTTTTGCTGTAATTTTTCTTTTAAATGCAAACACTCATGAAATCAGCAGATAATTAATTTTCTAATACCTTAATATGAAGGAATTTAT